ACAGACCCACCAACAGATCCAACAGACCACCAACAGACCACCAACAGACCCACCAGACCCAACAGACCCACCAACAGACCCAACAGACCACCAACAGACCCACCACCAGACCCGACAGACCCACCAACAGGCCCAACAAACCCACCAACAGACCCAATAGACCACCACCAGACCACCACAGACAACCAACAAACCGCCAACAGACTACCACCAGACCCAACAGAACGTCAGCAGACCCACCAACAGACCTGGGGCCTGAACAAAAACAGTTTTCTTCAGTTACTTTAGCAAACAGCTGCTATGTTTCACTATAACCGCCCGCTTCAGTCAGTTCTGGGTTCTGGGTTGAACATTTGGTAAACAAGATAGACGACACCTGGACAGAACAGCTAGACCTGCAGCTCAGACCAGAACCAGAACCAGAACCAGCTGTGGAGACAAATACTCAACTCAGGTAAAGCCAATGCTGGGTACCAGAGTGGATCAGTTGGAGGGACACTGTGATTAGTTGTCAGGTGATTCCAGTCTTACCTGACCGACAAGTTAGAAACCAGACTTTTACTGCTGTGGGACAGTGAAGGATGCTCAACAGGTACGAGTTAGTCCATGTAAACTAACCACACCTCCTTCTACTAACTAGTTCTGCTGATGCACCTGTTCTGTTAACACACCTGTGAATAAAATAACATTTACGTGGACTTTCCTCACAAACATTCAACACATAGCCATTTAAAGGCAGTAGCGGTCCAGATGGCTCGCTACATATCAACCACTGTTCCCCATAGCTACGTTACACTCTTAGCATGTTAGCTATAACATCAGCATTAACTTACTCACAATGATGAATAACTGCTAGTTGACTTGCTACCGAGCTACATTTCAACTAGTATTCTCTATGAATTGGTTGTGCCCTTAGCATGCTAGCTAATATTTAAACAATTATTTTTGCTAATATACTTTTGGCTAGCTACCTGGGTATCCATTATTTCATTTGTCTGTTACTTTACTTCAGTAGAAGTTGATTAAATTTTCACTTACAAACTTGTGAATAAAGCCAGAAGCAGGTGTTTCTATGGACTCTTCTCACAAACAGTCAACACGACCCTGCTGGCAGGCAGCCGCAGTCCAGCTAGCTCGCTATATATCAACCACTGTTCCCCTTGGCTAGGTTACTCGTAGCTTGCTAGCTATAGCATTACCTTACTAAAGAAGTTCGCCTTCAAAACACAATGATAAATAACTGCTAGCTGTCTTGCTACCTAGCTACATATCAACTACTATTTCAGTGCTAGCTAGCTAGCTAGCTAGCTAGCGACATATCTGCTACATTTCCCCATAGATTGGTTACACACTTAACTTACTAGGTTAGAAACACCATGATAAGTATTTTTCATTTTCATTTTCATAAGTAACTGCTTGCTAGCTAGCTAACTACCTAGCTACATATTAACTGCAACTCCCTATGAATTGGTAGTGCTCTTAGCTTGCAAGCTAACCTTTTATGCGATTATTTTAGTTATCACTTTTGGCTCCTTAGCTGGTTATCTGTCTATTGAAACCATTTACCCACAACTTCGGCTCAATAAACATGATTACATTTCCACTTATGAGGCTTTGAGTAAAACCAGACAGGGGCGTTTGAATGGACTTTACATAAACGCAGTGAACACGACTCCATTTGAAGACGCATGAGTGAGCTTTACTTTACAAAAACCCACTAAAGCACTAAAGCCAAGCTACTTGAACCTACGGCCTGATGTAGGACTAATGTGGACTGTTTGCTAATTGTGGCTACCGCTGGAGTGTCCAACAACCAATCACAGAGCAGCATCCCTCCGTCTGATCCCATCCGACTAAACTCTAAGCTGGGTCGGCAAAACCTTCTTGGCATCACTTGGCTAAAACTCCCAAGTAACCTCCAGGAAACTCTACACCTCATGGCTCAGATTTCAGGCTTTAGAAAAGTGAGAAGGGAGATTTCAGCCAATCACAGAGCTTTTCAGCCAAACAGGTGAGACAGTATAAAGCCCAGAGTAGATGTGGTGGTTTGATGGGCGAAAGACAGCGATGAGCTGAGAAGCTACAAACAGCCTACATGAAACTAGAGCTAGACAATACATCCAGTGTTTTAGTGCAGAGCTTCACCTGTAGCTGATATCCAGAACTGCTGTTTGTACCTTGTAAATAATATGAATTACCAGAAACATGCAAAGGAGTCTGGGTGATTTTTAGCCCTGAGGTTTGTCTGCAGGTTTACCTTCCACTAACCAGCCTTTATGTCGCCTGAGAGGCAAAAACTGGGGCAAAAACAGTTCTCCAGTTTTGGAGCGTAAATGTGACAGAATGTGACATTTTATGAGCATCAGTTAATGTTTGAATAAAAAAAACTTCCATGTCAGGTTTCACGTATTGCTCTTTAATAAGGTTTTCATTTGTCTTCAATGAGAGGCGGCTGATCGAGTTCAGGAGATGAACTGAAGGTGGAGTTTCAGAAAACAGCGTCTCTGAGACTAAAGGCTTCAACACACCGATTACTTCACTTGATAAAAGAAAGAATAGTTTTGTCTTCAAGTTTTCCTTTAAAGCAGATTCAGTTGTTCAAGTTCAGGCGGACGAAACATTCACGTGGTTTCAAGAGAAGGCACTATGTCACTTCCTGTAAACACAACACACCGAACAGCAGCACGGACCGTCGCAAAGCAAAGAGCACAGAGATCTGAGTGTTGGTGCACGAACACACACACACACACACGCACACGCACACACACACACACACACACACACACACACACACACACACACACACACACACACACACAGCAGGTTCACAGTTTCCCCTTCAGAATAAAAGCCTGGCAGTAAACGGACGGACAGCCCCTCCTGTCTGTCACCTGAGGTCCAGCAGGCCGAGCTTCGAGTCCCGAACCACCACATGTTTACACACCTGAGGACGACAGGGGGCGGAGCTTATGACGTGAACAGGTGAAGCCTCAAGTCAAATAATCAATCAATACATTTTACATCCGTGAAGGAACAGTTGGCTAATTGAAGTTCTCGGTCTTCTCCCAGAACAGCCAGCATGTCGAGGATAAACGGATGCTAACAATTCACAATCAGCAGTTGTCTAAAGTCAGAAGGAGGCACAAACATGACAGAGAAGAAGGCAGAGGGCGGTTCTCACAGTGAACAGAGGAGGCTCCTTGGAGTGAGGATGGAAACCTTTGAGTCTGCAGCCAGAAACCTCCGACATCCCCGGACCGGTCAGCCGGAACACCCCCGTACTGAGACAGAGGGCGGAGCCTGGGTTAGCAGGAATCATGGGAAATGGAGTCCACATTGTGTGTGTGTGTGTGTGTGTGTGTGTGTGTGTGTGTCACACGTACTCGTTGTGTTTGGGAGCGCACACGATGGCGATGGCCTCCGGCAGCATCAGCTGGTAGGAACAGTGAGTGTGGAGGTCAACGCTGGACAGGAAGGCCGTCTGAGTGGGATGAGTCTGGACACAGAGGTCAGAGGTCACACACTGACCCACAACAACACACACAGGTCACACACTGACCCACAACAACACACACAGGTCACACACTGACCCACACTGACCCACAACAACACACACAGGTCACAGCTGAGTCAGTGATTAGCTGCAGAGTGAGACGTCTGTCTGTCTGTCTGCTCCTATCTCTGCTGTCGCCACGGCCACTGTTGCCATGGCAACATCCGATCATACAAATGAAGGAGAAGTACAGCGGAGGTTGTCTCACTGAGCGTTTGGTGTTTTGGTGTTGGTCAGCTTTACCAGATCATTCGCTGAGGAGCTCACCAGCGGTTACAGCACACGATCCTGTTATTGATTACTTTAGTCACTTTATTGATCAGCTTCTGTTGAGCTGACCAAACCCTCTGTGCTTAGCTTGTTTTTAGCATCTGCTGAGCACGTGTGTAGCCTGTCTTTAGCATTTAGCATCTGTTTGGCTTGTATTCAGCATGTTAAGCCTGACTTCAATGTGTTTCACCTGTTGTAAGCTTTAACATGTCTTTAGCATGTGTTAATATTCTCTGTGTAGTGTGTGTTTCATGTTTAGCCTGTCTTGTGTATAGCCTCTGTTTAACGTGTGTTTAGCATGTAGCCCTACATGGATCCAGCCCAGCGTCAGCAGGTTCTGCTGGTCCTGGAAACTGAACAGTTCCTCCACGTTCTCCATGTCGCAGAAATCCGGGCCGGCCGACTGTTTGGGGATCACGACGTGAGTCAACACGAACTCATTGTGCGTCTGGAGGCGAAACACAAACACACACAGAGTTACTGTCTACCATCTCTGGGTTAACGGTAGTTAGCATCACCAGGTCACCGCAGGTTAACGTCTCTGAGTTAACCGTAGTTAGTATAACCAGGGGCCTCATGTACAAAGCGTGTGTACGCACAAAAACTTGGCGTTCGCACTTTTCCACGCTCACGTTCAGAAGCATCAAGAGTGAAACGATGGTGGAAATGTGCGGTCCTCCACGCCAACTTCTTGACTGACGTACGCACGTTTCTACTGCTTGGCGACACCTAGAGGTGATGCTGGGAAACTGTCAATGTAAAAAAAGGTCATTGCTCAAAGTGATGTGTTCATCAGAGACACACAGATGAATGAACACATCCAGGTGTTTGCAGTCAGATGAGCGGATATAAAAGTTTATATAAAACGGTGCAGAAGATCCCGTTAACAACAACGGCAGCTTTGGACCTGCTGGAGGATGTTACCAATGGAGCAGAGCCAAGAGAACGGGTTTCCAGAGACCTCAGGACCACGACTGGATCATCAGCTGCTTTACGTTCCTGAGGGCAATCCTCTTAGAACTGTGCACAGAACCATTATTGGAGCCCAACACGTCCAGGAGCCATGTCCTACCTGTGCCCATACAGGTACTGACCCACCGGGCTTCCCAGCCACAGGGTCATCTCAGAGGGAGCTGGCCGACCGACCGGGACTGTGCCAGTCCACACTGAGCCGAGCCATGCCAGCCGTGTGGGACGGAACCATCCGAATGTCAGCCAGATACATCAAGCTCCCACAGTGCAGCTGAACAGGACGACATGAACGTGCAATTTGTAGCGACGGCCGGTTCTGCTGATGTAGTCGGAGCGACCGACTGC